TAAATATAAAATTGGGGCGGGGACGGGGTCGGGGTGAGGATTGTATTACTCATCCACGTGCCCCGCCCTCGACGTTTTAAATCAGGAAAAACCCCAACCCCCCTCGTCCTCGCCCCCGATTAACTCGGTTTCTCCCCGTCAAACTCGGGGCAAGGACGGATCGATCCCCAAAGATACAGATTTAATTATCATCCTTATTCCTAATGTTTTCTTTCCAAGCAGTAGTTTCTACTGAATCCATGTCTCATTATCTCTTAAGGCTCGTATCTCATTGGCCATTGCAGTGCACCAACCAAAATTCTTTACAACTTCCTTAAAATTCTTAGGCTCTTTCCCTGTTATCACTACAACAAAATTTTGATGTCTAGCAAAAAATCGTTCACAATCTACAAAGTAATAGGATAAGGATTGTTTGAGGCATGTTGTTGAGCAAATGAACTTTTCGAGGACTTTACTTTTCAAATGATATAAGTTACAAAATCCTTATATATTATCAATGGAATTTTGTTTCTCATTCCTCTTCCCATTTTTCTCTCCATTTTTTCTTCTTACACCTCCACAATGTCAACCTCATCAACTTTGTGTAATACCTCACTATCCACACCATTCATACTTACTCCCTTATCAACTATTCATTATAGTCTTCACACAATCTCTCTCCCTCTTAGAGTTGTGATTGTTTTTCTCCTTGCAAGGCCACGAATTCACCCACTTTATGAGTGATGCATCATAAGTCTCCCATCCAATATCATCAACAACATACTCAATATTATATTATCATTATGATTATTTATTTTTATTATTAATTATTATATTTAAAATATTTTAAGCCTAATCATGGATAAATTTAGTAGTTACAATTTTGTTGGTCAACGGTAACTTTATATATATATATATATATATATATATATATATATATATATATATATTGCTGATTTGATGAATAAATGCAATAAATTTTATTATTATTATTAGGAAAATGATACTCTGAAAATCCATACAACTCTTATAAATAACTCTCTTTTAATATTATAATAATAGTTTTAATTTATTTTTATTTTTATTAAATCATTTAATAGATTATTATATTAATAAAAGTAAGTTGTTTGAAGAGTTGTATGATTTCTGGTTGTCAAAATATCACCACCCTTATTATTATTATTTCTACTAAACCAACTCACATGAGGATGAACTTTAACATTTTTTTTTACAGGTGACCCAATATCATTTATTTTACAAATCAATTGATAAATCCTTGTCAATTGATAAGTTCATCAGTTCATTCATGTGCTTCAATCAACGTTTTTATCGTCTGATCGTATATTACGCACAATACATTAGTAAATTGAACAAAACAATTAGAGACATCAATTAATTGCGATACAAGAATTAAATTGCAAGTTAATTGAGTCACAAAAAGAAAATTATCAAGATGCAATACCACCTATATGTTTTAATTTTTTTTTTTTCACATTTATTGGACAAGATAAATCTCCTCTTACGTGGTGTGAGACTCCCGTGTCAATAATCCAAAGAATATCATTTTTAATGTGAAGACGATCCTTGATTTTAGGAACATTCAAAATGTCAAGAAGTTGTTATCACTATGATGGAGTGATGTAGGATAATCATGTTGGCTCACCTGGGTTTAATAGAGCATGAGACTATTTGCCTTTAGCACCATTGCTACTATTTCCTATTGTGACTTTGTTGACATGCATAGGTGTGTTGTTTGTGTCCCTACCACACTCTCTAGAATGACCTACTCCTTTTCCTGATCTATGACCATCCTGAGGATGGTCTCGCCACCAATAGGGGAACCCATGAAGTCGAAAACCCGAGCTTACGCTATGCCATCCTCCATTATAGTGAGTACAAAATTAGTCAAAATTGTTCACACGTTTAAATTTATCACGTGTATCGAGTGTAACTTTAAAAGTCATGACTTTGTCATCATTCCAAAAAGTTGAGGATTGCTCTTGAAGCAATCTTTCATCTTGTATAACTCATTGATATGCTTGAGCAAATTGTTGCATAAGCCCCATGTAGACCAATAAGAAAATGATGCAAGTAATCTATCGCATGTAAATCAACCACTTGTTTAACAATATCATGGGTATATTTTCCACATTTGCAAGTAGGATTTTTGACATAAGTCACAAGTTCATCCCATAAACAAGATAGACACCAAAGTAAGTTGACACCTCTTCACCTTTCCTTGCTTGCAATCTCCCAAATATGTCTTTAATTGGCAGATGTGAGTCTTGTTCACGATAAAAAACACTGCTTAAGATATATCCACAAGGATTGTTTATCATTGTAATAGGAAAAAGTAGAGCGTAGTGATGACTCGATAGTGTTGAACAATCATGCTATAAGTATTGAATGTAATTTTTCAAGTGACTTTTCCTTTCACATTGGATTGGTGTAATCACATTGACATGATTGTCATTTGGCCTAAAAAAAAAATCAATTCGACTTTTTGTCATTACCATTGTTTTTAATCATAATTTCTTATTGTTCCGTAAAAAAATGGTGTTTTATTTATTCCTTACTATTGATACTATGATAAGATTTACTACAATAATTATTTTATTTATTCATTAAATCAATAATATAAATACATATAATAATTTAGGTAAAAGAAATTGTTGTTATTAAATATACTCATTATTAGGTTCAAAATCTCTTAAATATAATGATTAACAATAATAATAAATCATCATAACAATAATATCTCAATAATCTCAATATATTTCTAGTTCTTGAATTACTTTTAATTTTAATACTTATAATAAAAAAATAACAATTTTTACGGATAAAAAGCATTATACATAAACTGAAAATATAGTTAACACAAATAAAATAATATATTTATAATTCAACCATAAATTTTTAACATTTCTACAAGTAACTTTTGTTATAATGAAATTCCAAAAATAAAGTATCAGCCTCTTGTGTCATTGTAGTGAGAAGAGCACTACCACTCACTATAACATTGTTTGGATATAGTTGAGAATGCACACTCTCTATTGGAACATCAAAGGTGGAACAAATAATGACAAGAGAATAACTAAAACTCCCTCCAATAATGGATAACCATAACTTTATTTTCAAACTCCACTGAAAATGTATAGGAGATCAACTTCAAATCCCAAAATGACTCAGTCTTGACAAGGCTAATAACATGATAGCAAATGCACCACAAAGAGTAGCTACATGCATCTGCTTTCCCTCTCACTTGTTTATCCAAATAAAAGGAGTAGACAGAAGTAGTTAGCACAAGAAAGTTGGTATGAGGTTTTAGCTGAAAAGAGGTGATGTGCTTCCCTGCCTTCACAAATATGATGGCAAAGAAAATGATGAAAGTGAAAAAAAGTAGTGTCTTCCACCATCTCCACTTTCCAAATAAATCATTAAAAGATCTGATAGCATAACAGATTGATCAATAGAAGAACACACGAATCTCCATACCTTCTTTGTAGTATGTCAACTTCCTCAAATCTGTCTCCACTTCCTAAAAAAATTACCACACACACACACACACACACACACACACACACACACACACACACACACACACACACACACACACACACACACACACACACACGCACACACACACACACACACACACACACACACACACACACACACACACACACACACACACACACACACACACACACACACACACACACACACACACACACACACGCACACAGCACACACACACACACACACACACACACTTTTTAATTATTGTTACTATATTTCAATTGTTGTTGTATAGTTTTTTAATTATTGTTATATAGATTTAAATTGTTATATAGTTTTTTAAATTGTTGTTATATAGTTTTTTAATAATAATGTTTAAAAAAATCTTCAATAAATACAAAAGTTTAAACAGTTACAAGATTTAATTATAAATTTTCATTTAACAATTTTCATTTAACTATTTTATCTCTCTACCTTTGGAAATAATGTTAATATTTTAGAACTTATTTTCATTTTTTTCATACACTTTTTTGTAAATACTTTAAAAATAATGTTAGTAATTATGATAGAAACAATTTTAAAATATAATAGAAGAGATAGATACTATTGAACATATTAAAAAATAATTAAAAATCAATTAATTAAAAATTTTAGATTTTCATATTATTTCATTTAGATTTTAAATTAAAAATTAAACCAAACTCGTTAATTATTAAACATATACAATTATATTATTTAACTATTTTATTTAAAATATATTACACAATCATAATTTTAATTATATAGTTTATCTCAAAAATAAAGAAAAAATATATATAAACGAACATAATAATAACTAAAAGATATAGACAAACACTCACAAAAATTTTAAATATAATATCAAATTAGTGTAAATTTTGTAATATGTCAATAAAATTGACTATATTTAATTATAATTATTATAACATTTTTAAACTCAAATGAATAGAATAACATACCAATTCTAATAGAGTCAATTTCGAAAGTACTAATAATTTATTTAACCAAGGAGTTTTAAAAAGATTATATGTAAAAAAATAAAAGTTTTTCTCTTTGATTTTTATAAATATTTTTATCAATCAATAATAGTAATGACATTTATTTTAAATTTTTTTAATATAAATCTAAAATCTATTTCTTTTTATAAAATTATCACTCTTTTTTTCTATATAACAAATTAAAAAATTAAAAAAAAAAATTTATATTATTCCTATATTAAAACGCTAAATTAAAAAATTAAGAAAAAAAGATTTTATATTCTTCCTATATTGAGAGGATAAATTAAAAAAAGAAATTAAGATAAAGGAGTGAGTTCAGGGCCTGATGGGAAGAAATAAAAAATGAAAATTCAGTTGTAAGTAATGTACAATGAAAAATGAAAAAAAAAAAAAGTACAAGACCCCAAACCATGATTAAGAACATATTTGTGGATAGTGTGACGTCAATAAATAAATAAAAATTTCAATTTACAGTCACAGATCAGATCAGATGCTTTTATCCACATATCGGCCGGTTTCTTCAACAACTTTTGTCCATACATTTGCTATTTTCTCTGTATATCCCACCTGTTAATTCATGCAAAACTATAAGAAATTATAACAAATTACAGTTTTTTATACAGTTTTTAATTCCCATCATGATTTTATGCACTGAACAAAAACACATGTTTCTTCTTTTACTGCACAGATTCTCCAACATGCTTGAACAAAACTCTATTTTAAATAATTTTCAGTAACAACGAAAACTAAATGTTTCTAAATATTTTATCAGTTATTCTAAAGATTTTATCCATCACTCAACATTTTATAATAATTATAACAACAGATTTTTTTTCATCATCACTATCTGTCAACAAACAAGAATGATTCCTGAACCTCAACCTTTTATTACAAAAAGCAAATGCAGTTATTCAACAAACAATAAATTTAAATAAATGTAATCTGGTTACTCAATTTATAACCAAATGAGTCATGAATAAAAGAATTTGAGAAAATATAAGATATAACAAATTAAGGAAAAGGTAAATACCTGATTAATTACAAATCCTTTTAACATGTTTACAAAGTCAGTCTGTCTCTCCTTATCAATCCTTTCAAGCTCACTCCTGTTATTTTCCTGTATTAGAAAAGAAATAAAAAATATGAAATAATATTAACATTATTCCAAATTCATTATCATACATAAATTATAGATAGAAACAATTTTAAAAAGAGATCAAAATATAATTAATAGTTTCCAATCAAGTTTACGTTGAAGTTTACATTGGTTTCTAGTTTCCAGTATTGGTTTCTAGTTGGTTTCTAGTTTCCAGTATTGGTTCCTAGTTGGTTTCTAAAATATCCAGTCAAGTTTACATTGGGTTTACATTGGTTCCTAGTTTCTAGAATTGGTTTCTAGTTGGTTTCTAAAATATCCAGTCAAGTTTACATTGGTTCCTAGTTTCTAGTTTCCAGTATTGGTTTCTAGTTGGTTTCTAAAATATCCAGTCAAGTTTACATTGGGTTTACATTGGTTCCTAGTTTCTAGAATTGGTTTCTAGTTGGTTTCTAAAATATCCAGTCAAATTTACATTGGTTTCTTAGTTGGTTTCTAAAATATCCAGTCAAGTTTACATTGGTTCCTAGTTGGTTTCTAGTTTCCAGTCAAGTTTACATTGGTTCCTAGTTGGTTTCTAATTTCCAGTATTGATTTCTAAAATATCCAATCAAGTTTACATTGGTTTCTGGTTTCTAAAATATCCAGTCAAGTTTACATTGGTTCCTAGTTGGTTTCTAGTTTCCAGTCAAGTTTATATATATATATATATATATATATATATATATATATATATATATATATATATATATATATATATATATAAGTTTGGAACCCACACTGTTACAATATTCATAAATGCTGCTATTTGAAGATAATGATACCTTGATTCGCTCATATTCTCTAATTGCAATATTCTTGGCATCTTCCGTGACTCTTATAGTTTCCTGTAATTCCTCTAACTTACGAACCCTTGATTTATCACCTCCAAAAATCTTAGATGTGGCCACCTCAAGTTTTTCAACTCTTGACTGCAAGGCTGATAATTCTGATAGAAGAGTCTGCACGGTCAGTAATGCACTTGAACGTTCCGAGAATGCATTATGAACCGCCAACATTAATCCAAGATACTCATGAAGCGTATCCTGTTATGCATGAATTAGAAATTCATACAATTAGTGGATTGCCCATTATTTGGGAATAATGATACATAATATTACTCATACGTAAATTCCAAAATAGTTAGTTGATTGTCTATTATTTGGAATAATGAAGCATAATAGTTACTGAAAATAGTTGCTGAAAATAGACAATTGTAAAATGTATAATTAAAAAATTAATATAATTTTATTATATACCAAATGCTTCACAGTCTGAGCATTTAGTTCTCGAAATAATCTGCTAGCCTTGACAGCAGCTGTTGCTAAACCTTTCATGTCAGCAGCCCGTATCCTCTGGGTGTTCAAGATAGCCTCTTCATTCTCAAATTTTGTTAATTTAATAAATGCCAGCCCTAATTCACCCATTGTCTCTCCCATATCCTGCTGTGACTTGACAAGTGACTCAGCCTGTATAAAAAATTGACACGTGATTGGAAAATCCATAGCAATCAGTAACCATACAGTAGGTTCAAAAAACAAACATTGACATTGGCCTCAACATCAAGGTTTTTGGGTGCACTAAGCCTGCATGAAAATGTGATTTAAAAATTCATAGCAATCAGTAACCATACAGCCAGCAGGTTCAAAAAACAGTCATTGACATAGGCGTTAATGTCATGGTTTTGGGGTGCACTAAGCCTGCATCAAAATGTGATTGAAAAATTCATAGCAATCAGTACCATACAGCCAGCAGGTTCAAAAAACAGTCAGTGACATTGGCCTCAACATCAAGGTTTTTGGGTGCACTAAGCCTGCATCAAAATTGGCACGTGATTGGAAAATTCATAGCAATCAGTAACCATACAGCAGATTCAAAAAAAGTCAGTGACAATGACCTAAATGTCACGGTTTTTGGGTGCAGTAAGCTTGCATCAAAATTGGCACGTGATTGAAAAATTCATAGCAATCAGTAACCATACAGCAGGTTCAGAAAACAGTCAGTGACATGGCCTCAATGTCAAGGTTTTTGGGTGCACTACAATCTCTGTTGCAACCTCCTTAGTCATAAACTCAGTGAAACGATGTAACACAAGTTAAACAGATAATTCACAGAAAACATAAAACCCAAATAACACCTGTTGAGATGCACCATTAATTTGCTGCTCAAGCTCATGAATTTTTTCCTTCTTTTCAAGAAAATCCTTATCCTCTTCCACAACGGGAGGCCTGGAACCTCCCCAATCATTGGCCACGGACTGTCTCAACTCCTTGAACAGCCTCATCAAATCCCTGCCTCCTCTCGCAGGCTGCACAATTTCATGCGGCGCAATCACAGTCTCCCCCAACAACTGCTTGGGAAGCTTCGCGGCGCCGTCGAGCACCCTCGACGCCACATCGATCGTAGACGGCAGTGGAAACCTCCCCTGCACCTGCAAAAACACCCTGAACTCGTCGCTCTTCCTGATCACCGGATGCGCCGCCAACCGCCTCAGGTACTTTTCCAGCGCCACCCTCCGCTGCTCCACGAATTCCTGCTTCTGCATCACCTGGCTCTCCACCACGCTCTTGTCCGGCCGCGGTGGAATGAAAAACCCGCGATACGCCTCCGCCAACCGATCCGAAAGGGTGACAACGTCACGGAACCTTCGCCGGACCCCAAATTCAGCGCCGGGGGCACCGAATTCGGTAATGTTCGTCGTCGTGGTGATCAAATAGGTCACGTAACTGTTGCTCCCCGGAACAATTGAATTCGAGGTTTCTTGCTCCTTGACTGGGTTCGAAACGGTTATATTCAAATACTCGGAGCTCGATGACGGAGATCGGGAGATGGAGAGAGAAAGAGGCGGAGAGGGAGGGTCGATGCCATTAGTGTCGCCGTCAAATGACGTGAAAACGGCTTCGGCGTAAGAGGGAGGGTCGATGTAAGAGGAAGCGTCGGGGGAATAAGGGTTTGGGAAGGACTGAGGCGGGGAAAGGAGGGGATCAGAGTCAGCCGGGGTGGAGACAATTGGCGACGAGAGAGGATGGTGATTCGATTCAGATAGCGTGGTGAAGGCACTGCTGTAAGCGGCGGAGAGCGAGGATTTTGCACCGTCGTTGCCATCGTCGTGATCGTGGAGAGCGAGGTTTTCCATGTGGTCTAGCGGCTCTGAGAGAGGGTGGTCCTGGACGCTATGGTTCTCGGAGCCCATCATTGTGGCAATGAGAATCGGAAATTCGGAATGGAAAGTGGCGAGCTTGCAGCGTGGTGAATCGCAAAGCAAGCTCGATGAAGGAGGTGCGAGGGTTTAGATTAGAAAGAGGTTGAATTGGGGATTCACATTAGGGATTTGAGAGTGAGTGTGTGTGTGGGAGTGGGAGGTGTTTGCTAACGTGCGCTGGGGTGTGATGATGAGGTAGGTCGAAGAAGACCATGCAGGGACCATAACAAATTGAAGTAGCAGGACTGAGATTCGCAAGTAATTTCACGTTCCACACCTAACTCCTTTTAAAAAAATATCATAAACAATCAGTTATCAATTCTGTTTCAAAATATTATATGTTTTTTAGTTTTTATCTTTTTTAAACATAATTTACACACATATTAGATAATTAAAAAGCTTATGTAATTTTATATTCTCATTCACTCGTAAATCATAAAATATAATAAATTTATTGATTTTAAAATAGATTTTTAATTAAAAAAATCCCAAGTTAATAATGGATAGATAAATTATATTTGAACTTCGAATAATTTTAACATTATATTTTTCAATTAATTTAAAGATATAATTTCATTAACACGCTTTTCATTCACTTTTTAACAGTGCAGGTTAAATTTACAGAGAAAAGTAAAACATTATTAATTTGATTTAATTGTTAATTGTTTAGTTGATATGCTCCACCACAATCCTTCTGAACGGTTTATGTTTTGTATTTTTTTTAAATGATTTATTAAATTAAAATAAAAAAACTATAATTTAAAAGTTATAATTTTTATATTGTGTTTGATTATATATTAGGTCATTTAAATTGTTAATATCAAGTTTATCATTTGAACTATTTTTGTTCTGAAAATATCTGATGTTATAATCGATGTACAAAGATTTTCAACGTTACAATATTATCGTCGTGTTTACATTCAAGTTAATTTCTGTTTAATCGAGGTAATTGACACAATGTTAAGAGGAAAAACCTAAAAGCAAGTAACTGATTCCTTAAGGTCCTGTTTGGGATGGTTTTAAGTTTTAAAATTGCTAAACTTTAGAGAAGAAATTGGTCGCTGACTATACTCCATTTATTGAGAGAACATGCACTAAAGAATAGAAAGTCAAGAAAGAGGAGAAGAAAAATGAAAAAAAAAAAAAAAAATGAATAACTCTCTGTCATAGCTTTTTCACATGAAGATGAAGGCAAGAGCTTCAACATTACACTTCACTACTAACAATCTTTAGAAGAATTATTTTGTGATCTGAACATCTCATAACCATTATAATTTAGATCATATAATTATATGTTAAAGTAATATATATTGGAAACTTTGTTCAACGAATGTGAGTTTTATATGACAAACTGCTGCTCCCACACTTCTTTTTCAAAGGATCCAGGTTCGTATCAGTTTGATGGATGCTGTTTGATTTATCCACTTGACCCTTTGGAGTAAAAGCCATCAGATTGCAGGGTCCAATCTTGTGATTGGTATTTATCTCTTATATTCAACAAGAACATGAATATTAATGGCAAGAAGCTTATCTATTGAGCTTTTTGAAATTCAGGGGTTGACATTAATGTTATGTTGCTGCAATTTGACAAGGATATTGAGACTTAAGCACCAACAAAAACCAAGTTAATGTGTAGCTTTAAATGATTTTATTAACACGTGGTACTCGAAAATGGCTATGGTTAGAACTAAACAAATTAATAATTGATGGAATCGTTCCAAAGTCAGGTGGCAGACTACCTAATACATGAAAATAGGGAGGGTGACCAATCAATGCACTAACGACATTGCAGGTACCCTTTGCAAAGGAAATATCGAAAGTAAACGTATCAAACCTGCTTCATTTGAAATAATAGGATTACACACCCTGTTTAAGAGTGGTTTTGTAAGTTAATAAATTTTAGCAGGGATTTATGGTTATGCAGTTAAAAACATGAAGAAAAAGGTAAAAAAAATATTGAACATGACCATTGCATTCATGTTCTGTTCAGCTTATATAATGTATTAGTGAGTGAAGATGTTAAGTCCAATTTATCTTTGGATAACAAATGCCACTATCTTATTGCACAGTAGGGTAATGAAAAGCACTGTTTCAGCTAATAACTTTTAGTAGTCAACTAAACACGGAACAACTACTTTTGCACTACCGAACCAAACCAAAATTCAACCCGACCTTAACTACTCAGTATTTTATTTTCTTTTCTGTATGTTTTCTTTCAACTACAGAATGTACTCCTATGTTTCAGTGTGAGAACATAAATAAAGTTAGGAAACTGCATGGTTGTGTGGACCATATTGGCGTTTGAATTGTTGAACAGGTTATCTGATTTCATAGGCCTTTTCTTTTTGGGTACGAATTTAACCAACTCTTTTTAACTGTGTATGAAAAGGACCAATTTAACAATTGGAATGTCTCAAATGTCACTGATTTTAATGTATATTCGTCTCTTTGAAAATGAAATGGTTTAATTACTATATTAGAGGTTATCATAATATAAATCATGGTTATCAGTATTTCTTCTCTATTCTACACACCAAAACTACAACTTTTTGTTTAGAGCGTAATGAAGATAAAATCAAGTGTAATCTCTTCCATTACTTTTTTTTGAGATAAGGTATTATGAAAATACATAATATGTAGTTACATTCATGATTGTGATCTCATTTTTACCTTCTCAGAACAAGGAAATATTTGAGTTTTTACTTCTTTCTGATTAAATTTCATTTTCTTTCATTATTCTCAGACAAGTTTAGTAAGAGCTGGTAATGATTAGTAGTTGTCTTGACAAGTACTTTCTGAAGATGATTTGTTAATTCAGCTGTATTCTAGTGCACAATGTGCCCTGCAAATATTATATATGATATTATCGAAACCACAGAATCTAGCATTTGTTCCACAGTTGATTGCGCTAGTGGGTGCACCAAATCCTCTGTGGTTAGACTAACAATCCTAAATTATTTAGTACACTGTTAACTCATTAAATAATGGTCAAAACAATTGTCTTTCGAAGTTACGAACAAGGTTTAATCTAGGCTTTTCCCGCTTTATCATTCTATAAGTAGCTGCACCTTAGACCAAATCCTACATAGCTCAAGTAGCATTTGACAAATTCTTTGACAACAACAATGAAGACTATCCACCTCCCTGGCAAGCAATGTTGCTCTTGGTTCTTACTTGGCCTACTCTTTATCATTGCTTCCCTTGCTTCAGCTGCAGAGAATCACTACCATGAGTTTGTTGTAAGTGTTATTTTTTTTTTTTTTTTACTTATTTAATGTAATGTAATGATCACACAATATTTACTCAGTTTCCAATTATGACTTGCATAATTTCGTAATGGTACTAACTTCAATGTTTGATTGAAATAGATTCAAACTGCGCCAGTGAAGAGGCTGTGCAGAACCCACAACATACTCACTGTAAATGGGCAGTTTCCTGGCCCAACAGTGGAAGCAAGAAATGGAGATTCTCTTGCAATCAAAGTAGTAAATGCTGGACCATATAACATATCCATCCACTGGTAAATATCATCATCATTTATCCTCACATAAATATCATGCTAAGACATTTTTTATACTACCCTTTAGTCAGAACAATTTCTCTATGGCAAGAAACCTTTTAATTCTCTATGATTATGATACATACATGAAAACAGAAATGCATAATGCTGACAATCTTATGTGTACTTTGCATCAGGCATGGCTTAAGGATGTTGAGAAATCCATGGGCAGATGGGCCTAGTTATGTGACTCAGTGTCCCATTCAACCTGGGGGGAGTTACACATACCGCTTTACAATCCAAAACCAAGAGGGGACACTATGGTGGCATGCTCACACTGGTTTCCTAAGAGCCACTGTCTATGGAGCTCTCATCATATATCCAAAATTGGGTTCTCCTTATCCTTTCTCCATGCCTAAGAAAGAATTTCCCCTCCTTCTTGGTACTTCTCTAAAACCAGCACTTATTTCTTCTCAATTCAGTTCTATAGTTTAACTTTCATTGTGGGCAATTCGAAAGATGCTGAACTCTTCATTTCTCTGAAGCAATGCCAGAGCATAACCATTTGTATTATGACGATCCACAGGGGAATGGTTTGATAGGGATCCAATGGTTCTCTTAAGGCAGACACAATTCACAGGAGCACCTCCAAATGTATCTGTCGCATACACAATTAATGGTCAACCTGGAGATCTCTACAGATGTTCAAGTCAAGGTTTGGAATTATAATAGAGGCATAGCTTCCATGCAGATTTTCATTCTCTTAGTATATACACATGGCTAAAATATACAACAAATATTCAATGCAGAAACCGTACGTGTTCCAGTAGATGCTGGTGAAACAATTCTCTTGAGAATCATCAACAGTGCACTCAATCAAGAACTCTTCTTCTCAATTGCCAACCACAGGATGACTGTTGTTGCTACTGATGCTGCTTACACCAAGCCTTTCACCACCAATGTCCTCATGATAGGTCCTGGCCAGACAATCAATGTTCTGGTCACTGCTGATCAAGTCCCCGGAAGATACTACATGGCAGCACGCGCATATCAAACAGCCATGAACGCTGCATTTGACAACACTACCACCACTGCAATCCTTGAATACAAATCTGTTAGCTGCGGCAAGAAAAATGGGCAGCTCCAAAGACCAATACTGCCAGTGTTGCCAGCTTTCAATGACACAGCCACTGCAACTGCGTACACAGCAGGGATCAGAGGCCTTTCTAAGATCAATGTCTTCACAAAAGTTGATGTGAGCCTATATTTTGTTGTTGGGTTGGGGTTAATCAACTGCACAAATCCTAATAGTCCAAGGTGCCAAGGACCCAATGGAACCCGATTTGCAGCCAGCATAAACAATCAGTCCTTTGTACTTCCCACAACCACATCCCTTATGCAAGCCTATTATCAAGGTATTCCTGGTGTCTTCACCACAGACTTTCCTCCAGTTCCTCCTCTACCATTCAATTACACTGGTAATGTGCCCAGGGGGCTATGGACCCCTAGACGAGGAACTAAGCTCATCAAGGTGAAGTATGGTTCCAATCTGCAAATTGTTCTACAGGACACAAGCATAGTAACAACAGAGGACCACCCTATGCATGTTCATGGATTCCACTTCTTTGTAGTTGGTTCAGGCTTTGGCAACTTCAACCCAGCAACAGATCCTGCAAGGTTTAACCTCGTAGACCCACCTGTGAAGAACACCATTGGAACACCACCAGGAGGATGGGTGGCCATTCGTTTTGTGGCCGATAATCCAGGTAACAATAGTTTATTTACTCCAAAAAATGTTGTGTCGTGCAGAGTTTTAACCATGGACAAAACTTAACTCATATCTATACAAACCTTTATTAATTAGTACGCATCTAATGTGAACTGTTTTTAAATTGTGAACTTTTATTATTAGGCTGAGCATTGAAAACTAACCAATTATGTGGTTTTTTGCCTTATTGCAAATCAGGAATTTGGTTCTTGCATTGCCACATAGACTCACATCTAAATTGGGGTCTGGCAACGGCACTTTTGGTAGAAAATGGAGTTGGTCCATCTCAGTCAGTGATTCCTCCACCACCAGATCTGCCCCAGTGTTAGACGAAGAAAGCATCACTAGTCACAAATTTTATATTCCTCAATTATTGGCTTGTGTGTCACCAGCATGCCAAATAGACAGTATTTATTCTGTGGTGTTTCAAGGTCTAGAATAGGACCATGCTCAATTGAGCCGTTATGTTTGTGTTTTTCTTAATTGGGTGCAAGTCATAGCTCTTTCAGAACAAAATAAGGCTAACGTGTGATCTGTCTCTTGTCATTGCTATTTAAGAGTTACTCTTTCTTCTTTTAGAACAAACAAGTACAACGTTTCCACATTTGACATCAAGCTTCCTAATCAAATCAAAACTTATCATACGCTCCACGCACAGTCCGAATGCTTTCAATAACAAAAATGTTTCCGGTGTTTGTCAAGTCAAAACAAAAATAGTAATATCATGAAAAAAAAACAACCCACAAACAATTCACAAAACCAAGAACATATAAAGAGGGAAATTGTTTAGAAAAGTTATTTACAAACAAAAATATTATTTTATTTATATATATATATATATATATATATATATATATATATAATAATGTAAAATACTTATTCATATAAGATGTTAACAACGCCTAACACAGTAATAAGAAGAAGAATATAAAGGTAATATTAGTCTTATGTCAGACTTAACTTAAATTTGGAGTTAAGGCCCAACAAGAAAGCCCAGAAACATGAGGTATTGAGAATTATATTTAATCCAAAATCTATGTAAGGAAAGGAAGCATTAATTAAGAGACTCTTGGCGGCAGAAAAGAGTGAATTGTAAAAATAAATAAAATAAATTCAGGTTTTAATTTTTTGTTTCCACCAAATTTTCTTTTAATCAAATTGGCCTTTAATAAAATTACTTTCTTTTTATCAAGTAACAATTCTGATTAATGACACAACAATAAAGTTGCAACCTGTGTGTCATCTATAAGTTTGATGGGGCATTTTTTCTTAGATTGTATTTTAACTAATTATTTATATAATAGATGAGATTAAATTGGTTAAGGAGTGATTAAAAATACATTTTATGACAAAAAATATTTGTTAAAGTTCTTTCACATTTCTAGATGATGTGAAACTTAACGTTATCATTTGACCAAAAAAATGATAACAGAAAAAAAATCAAAATCTAAAAATGGGTCAACATTTTAATAACTGATTTAAAAATATCTTAAAGAGTTTAAGATTGTAGACCATGCATAAATAATCGGTTTATTATATTCCGGAAAAATAGAAAGCTTTCTTGATTTTATTTACTGTTATGTAATTTTAATGAGAGCGATCTTAGAAACCAACTTTTTTTCTCTCAAAAATTTGCAAAGATAATATATTTACAAGATATTTCCAAATGAACATTCCCAATAATATATTTTGTAATTTAGTTATTTTTCTATAAAAACTTATAGAAATTAAAATAAAAAATAAATTTTTTTTATAAGTTAAAATTAATTTAAGTATAATTTATAAAAATATTTTCACATAATTATGAATTTTTTTTTAAAATGTGTATAAAAAAATTTAATGTATAGAAAGAAAAAAAAGTATATATTTTTATCTCTTTTTTGAATAAAAACATTCAATCAACCTTAAATTAAAAAATTAACTTACTCAAAAACATTATCTTCTAATTTTTCTCTCTTCATCACTAAATTTCAACTCGAGTTCTCAACATCAAATCGTTGTCCATTAACAATGAAACATTGATGGGATAATAACATCAATTAGAACAACAAATGGTAATAACAAGCATCAAACTTCAACTATTAGTAATAACATGAACTTTGCCAAGATATATTAAACAGCCATGGTTCTGTACAAAACAAAATAGAAATTCATCCAAAAAAAATGTGGAGCTTTAAATAAATGTTGTAGACATATATTTAAATTAACTTACTTTGTATTTTAAACAAATTATAACATTGAAACCATAAAAAGAGACAATAAACATATATCAGATTACAGTTTTCAGCAAGAGATTTTTTTATTGATCTTAGCTTCAAGAAATTTTCAGATAGATAATTATATCTAGTTTCTATTTACTTTCTCTTAGATTACACACTCTTTATAAATCTTAAAAATGTCTTAGTTATTGTCCTAATTAGGATTTTATCCTAAAATTGAAAGTATATATTTACTTATTTGTTCTAGCTTATTATATTTTTATGTTCTTTTTACTTTGTCTTAGTTCTAATTAAAATTAGTTCCATTTAAAATAAACTTTCCAACCCAACATAAACATGGTTCCCTGAAAGATTACACTCTCTTTTTCTTTAATCAAGAACACACGTGAGTTCATTTTACTCAAGGAGAATCTGACCAAGTAATTAATTTTGCGTCCTTGTCTGTCCAAAAGCAAAGTTCCCAAGACAAATATGATTTCATCAAGTTTATAGTTAATATCGATGACAGAAAAATTATTCAACCTGATTAACTAGCATTAACTTTTTTCTGCACACACCTTTATATAAAAAAAATCATCTTCAGCACTCACTCTTTTCTATATTTGTGGCACGATTTAGCATATTTTCAAAGAACATAGACTAAAAATGATGAGAGGAAAATATTTTCGAAATCATTATCATTCTTGCCATTATAATCATTTTGGTCTGCCACTTCCCACCACTCCCACTGACACCCCGCATTTGACAAATTAATTCCTGCTGGTTTACAAGATACGAATATCATCATTCCATTGCCCCTACACTACCCTTTTTTCAAAATCAATTACTATCCAAAAACAACATCGATCATTCATACATATTTATATGTTTTATGCTTCATCGGTACCACCAAGCTTCAGCTCAAGGTAGTAGCATTTCTAGAATGGCCTGAACTTTCGTACTAACAACTAGAGCAACATTTAAAGAAAATTCAAAAATCTCAAAGCTTTTGTACCTGGAGGTGGAGAATCCTGTTTAGCCCCATTACCAAGTAGTGCACTGAAGATATAGATGAATATATAGGTCAATCTATTTATAATCTATAGTAGATATGCTATAATAACAATAAGCTTGAAGATCTAATGCTAGAAACTTTGTTGCTTTGTCCCCGTACAAAGGGACACCTCTTGTACCCTAAAGTTGATTCAAACTTCTAAATCTTTAAAAAAAGTCCTGAATTTGCATCCCAACCACATATAATATTGTTAACCAGATAATATCATTGAACTTTGTCCAATGGGAAATAGAAAAATGAGTAAAGGGTTTAGGAAAAGGAAAGGTGCTCTTAAAGAAGAAAAGGAAAGGTGGAAAAATGGAATCAAATGTTGGAAGACTGCATAATTTTGATGGCCAAAATACACAGCATAATTGCCAATGTTTTGACATGCATCAGTGGTGTTCTTTATCTGATAATTATAAACTAATAGTTCAAATCATATAGAGATTATCCTCTCTCTCTTTTTTTTATACATGCACATGATACAAAATTAAACATTACTCCACATTTTAAGGCAAGGATTTATGATCTTGATCGTGGAATCAGAAGTAGTAAAAGAAGAAAAAGGTTAGTGAAAAAGAAAAATGATAACTGTTTGTTCTTTGCATTAACTTTGCTTATAATGGGAATGTAGTGGTTGAGATTATGAAGATATGTCAATTATAGCAATGGAGAGGAAAGCGACAAGTGCTGTGGCCTCCTCATGTTAGAAGCGAGTAACATCCATAGCAACTAACACACCATTTAAAAGAAAAAGGCCTGCAAAAGTTGAAGTCTAAGACTGTGGAAACCCTAGCTAATTCATTAGGTCCTATAGTAAACTCAAATAATAGATATTTCTGATTCAAACACTGCAATTGAAAGACTATAGGGTTTTGCTTTCGGCCAGACCAGCCCTGAGAAGGAGAAAGATTGGTACTCTTTTTCATCACCATTTCATTTACATTGCTATGAAAGACGACCATAAGACCTCAATTTCTTACAAATATTGAAAAAAATAGAGTGGCAAAGAGTTCAGAGCTGTCCTTTGGTCCAGGTTTTGGGTGCATGCAGTATTAACTTTAAATTTTTAAAACATTCTTCACCAACTTTGTAGTAGGTCTTTGTAGATAACAGAGGCTAGTACAAATTTACTCAATAAGTGAAATGTTCGAGTTGAAAAAATAAGGGTGTGTATATAAATTAACTATGCTTCTCACTTTATGTATTGTATTGAAAAGTAGTGCAATATTTTCCTTCAAGACTATTTTAATGGATTTTCAAACACACCATATAATTAATTAAGAAATAAATAAAAAGTTAGTGTTTTTTTTTTTTACTTAGTGAATTGTTGAGGATAAATTTTTATTTTATATGATTAAAACATAAACAAAATTATAAATTATATTAGATTTTAATATATATATATATATATATATATATAAGTCATAATATTAAAGTATAATAACACTTCAACTTTATATAAGAATTTTTGGTCATTTATTAAAAAAAAAATTGGACTAAACGCATTGACATTTTATAATTTCTTTAACTTGTGGAATAATAACAAAGTTAATAATTTTTTATGGGACAGAGTAACATAACAATATTTTTTTAATAACAAAGCATTAATAAATTAATCAAAGAAATACTAATAATATATTTTTTAACACGATCTTTGAAAATATTTAATTTTTACATTAATTAAATTTTATTAAAAATATGAAGTTTGTAGGTCAATTTCTAATCTAATGAGTCACACTTATATTTTTATAATTTTTTATAAAATTTAATCTATAATAAAAATATGTTAAAAATATATTGCTGACTTATTAAATATTAAAATCTTGCAGTTTCTTTATCAAAACCCAGTCAAAGAAAGGAACGTTATTACTTAGAACAAGTCTAGGATAATTCTAGAGACAGAGAAAGTCAGAGACAAGTTAATATATATGAATAAATATAAGAGAGATCGAGAATGCTATAGATATATTCCTACTTCTATTTTACAATATATTATAAATATCTTAAAATGTTATTTTAGCAATATGTTTCTAAATATTTTCAGATTGTAGCTTAATTACTAATTTATTTT